GTGAAAGGAAGTTTAGTAAAGTAGAGGAAGGAGACTGGGAAAAGAAAGGGAAGACAGGAAGGAAAAGGGAGAAGCAAAAGGGGAGATCATGAACTGAAATCGATTTCCATGCATGTCTGAGTTTGTCAGCAGAAACCCAACTACTATGTATAACTACTATGTATAATATGTATATGATTAGTGCTCTAATTAAAAAAAATAGCTGTGTCATCACTGGGGTAGTACATTTGATAATATATCGATGAACCTATGTTTCTCCCTATTCCCTTTATTGATAAGTTGGTGATCTATAAAAATGGTTAAATTTTATTATTTGATGTAATTACTTATTATTTAAAAAACAACACATGTATTTAATTGAAGAAGAGGAGGAGGAGGAGGAGGAGGAGGAGGAGGAGGAGGAGGAGCTAGAGGAACAAGGAAAGAGAATAGGCCCATCAGAAACAGGACATGTGGACAAGAGACCTTCTGCTAAATCTGCAGGGGCCTGGTGAAGCTGGGTTTAGCACAGGGAAGAAGGTTACAGGCTGGGACCAATGGCTGATGCTGGGCAAAGTGCTGTTGCTGGGGGGATACAGACGTAACCAACAGCAAGCAAACAAACAAACAAAAAAATTGCTCCTCTCCAGCCTTCCATCTTCCTCTACTGCTCCCTGTTGACAGAGATTTACAGGAAATCTGTGGTCAAAAGGACTAGTTTGTAGGGTCCAAGTGCTAGTCATAAGTTGAAGTGTAAAAGGGTAGATTTGGAGCTGAGAAAAATCATTTAAAATCCAACTCAGTATTTATAGAAAAATTACAAGGTTAAGTGAGTTAGTATATCTGCTCCTTGACTCACAATGAGCTTGTGCCCTGATGAGCCCTTTGTGCACTGACAGTAATATAAGCCAAAAATGCATTAATATTTCTAGAGAAAACCCTAGCTTAGCAATACAGAACACTGCAGAGTATGGGTTGTTTACTCTTGTGGTCACGTGGCTGACTGGGAACTGCAGCTGCTGCTGATGCCCAGTATGGCAAGAGAGTTTCCTGCAGCACTTTGCTTATTCCAGGAAAAGATCAATATTAGGAGTACAGTTTCTACTGAAATAAAATTTCTACATCATAAAGTTAAGAATCTTAAGTTGAGCTCCATTATTTTATAAAGTGCTCAGAATAGTGTCTGGCATAGGGTGAGTGAGTGCATTATAATGTGTTTTAAATAAGTAAGTACACCAAAAACCAATGTGGAAAGTAATATTAGGTTCTCAGTTTCATCCATGAGGATGGTGAGGATTAAAGAAATCACATAAAATGCTCACTCACAGTCACATGAGTTAGTCACTGGTCAATTCCTGACCTTCTGAATCTAAAGCTGCTTACTTTCATGGCCCCTGTGAGGCTCACAGAAGAGAGGCACGTAAATGAGTAACTTCCAAGAGAGACAGATTGTAAAAGTGCAATAGGAGAGATACAAACAGCATTTGGGGGGAGCATGGTGAAGGCAGAGTGAGCTGCTAACTGGGGAATGTGGAAGACTTGCAGGAGGAGATGGCATTTGAGTAGAGTTGTAAAGAAAGGACAGGGCTTTGACTGACAGATGCTGGAAGATATTAAGCCACGATCCAGAGTGCAGGGCACATATGTAGGATGGAGAGTGTGCAGGGTTTTCTCCAAATGGTGGGAGAGGAAGAGAGTGGTGAGGATTAATAGTCCTCACCATTCTCCTTTAGTGTTAAAAATAATACAGTTGAAGTATTTACATATATTAGCAAAAATACAAATTAAAGTGTTCCATTTGGGGCCATCATGAACATAAAATACTGTGCAAATGATTGTGAATAAATTTGTGAAGCAATGGGATTAGCTAAAAAAAATAATGAATTTTAAATTCACCTTCTTTTTTAAGCCTTTATGTAAGGTAATTAAAATCTGCTTTCAGAAAACAAGATTTTGTTTCAAGATAGCTGATTGAACTAAAATGTTACTTAACTCTACTGTGATATCCTTTTAACAATGTACCAAATTAACTTTCAATTAAGTCCCCTCATTAGAAGTTGTGCACAAATTTGCTTTATATCAATTTTATTTAATTCAATTTTAATTATTTAAAAAACAACACATGTATTTTTAGTGCCAGGAACTATCCCAGATACTGGAGATTATTTTAAAAACAACACATGTGTTTTTAATGCCAGGAACTATCCCAGATACTGGAGATGCAAAGAATTAAAAATGTTGGCTTTAATCTTTAGGGAACTCAGAATCTAATAGCTACAACAGATAGATATTCAAATCTCTGTGTTCACAATGGAAAGCAAAGGAATTAAATACACTTGGAATATGGAACCTCGGGCCAGGGAGGATGGAATGAGGTTCTTTCCCTTTTACCCCAAGAAGCAGTATTACACCAATGGCAGAAATCAGTAGATGGGATGTGAAAGGAGAGGAGCCAAGACAAATTATGGAGACTCATTAGTTTTAGCTAGTGCTGAACAGACCACCAGGTTGGCTGGCTAAGAAGTCAGAGTTGTACAAAGTTGGAAGAGGTTCTAGTATGTTCCCACAGTATTAAACTTGGTTTTGGGAATCCTATGTTCAGCTCTAAAAGCAAGTAAGTTGCCTTGAAACCAGAGATGGAAATCACACATGCCAATAATAGCTTATAGTTTCTGAGTAACTACAACATGCCAAACACTTTAATATAAAATAAGTATTGTATCTGGACTTCTAGTTGCTAGTCCCTAAGCATTCTACTCTTCTTCATTTTAGCAATAGTCTTCCCTACTGAGCTTTAGTAGAGCACATACATGTTTTTCTGCTAGAGTGAATAGTTTTCAGCCTTCTTTATAGCTTAATGTGACCATGTGACTAAGTTTTCACCAACAGAATGGGAATAGAAGCACTGTATACAAGTTCCATGTCACTTACTTAAAAGAGAATTTTTTCCCTGCATTTCTTGTTTTCCCTTTCCACTGGTAGAATTGAGATATTCCTATTCTTCTATGTAGAGCTTGGGAACAGCTAGAGAGGAGCACAACAGATAGAGAAGAAGAGCCTGGGTCCTAAGATACCTCTGCGGGTTTGAGGAGCCACCTCCTCTTGCTACTATCTCCTGCCACTGCACCTGGTGAACCTGCCTTTAGCATTTTATTGCAATCAAAGAACACCAAATACGAAGAAAAACAATATTATTAGAATAATGTCTGGCTTAGTGAACACAAGCCAAAATGAGACATGCAAGAGAGTATATTTGCAAGCTGTACAATTTTAATGATTGATGTTGTAAAAACTATATTGGTTCTCTGAAACCTTTATGATTAATATTCTAGTTTCTAGCTAAGTTTCAAATGACTGGGGTTACCTATTAAATGTCCCAAAGTGAGGAAAAGCTCATTACACTGAGCAAGGGCAGACTTGCTTAACAGTTTCTGGTGAGTTGTTATGGGTCAGGTACCAAAGATGGAAACACATACAATCTCTGCCCTCAAGATGTTTATAGACTGGTGGAAAGATGTGCAAATATATGAGCAGCATTAAAAGGAATTAGTTAGTACTCTTGACTGCAGACAATAAAAAATCTGACTCAAACTAGTTTAAGAATTTTTTAAAAGATCATTTATAGTCTAAATACACAGTCCAAGAACCACCCTGACTTCAGGCATTTAAACTCCACTGAATGAGGCTCCATGGATGGGTCCTGGAAATCTATAACTCACCCCTGCCTCTATCCCTTCATTAGATGATTTTGATTCTGTTTTGGAAAGCACAGTTTTATATAGATCATTTACATTACAAATAGGAGATTGGACCAGAGAGGGCAAAAACTGAAGAAGATAATGATGCCCAACGAGATGAGGAAATCCTGAACCCAGACAGGAGCTGCCTGGGCTAAGCACATTATGTATCATGATGTCTGCTTTGTACTTAAAGTATGTGATGGGTGGGCTTTGAAGGGCTGTCAGGAGAGACTTGTGCCATTTGCCAGGCACTCAGTATGAGGATTCACAATCCTTATCAAAGAGGCTATTACTTCCTTTTGTTCACCTAAAAACAATTTTGTGATTATATGCTAGGCACTGAGCTAAGCAGTGAGGACAAATGGGTTTACAAGCAAAGAGCCTCTCTCAGTGAAGCTTATATTCTGGGGGGACAGACAATAAAAATCAGAAAAACAAGCTAAATATTTACAAACTGTTAAGTTCTGTGAAGAGGAAAGCCTCTTCATTGTGTATCCCCTAGTGGAGGTGAACATTGGATGGAGTAGAAAAAAGGCATTCAGGCTGACAAATCAGTGGAGACCTAAAGAATGGGAATAAGCAATTGTTTGGAAGGTTGTAGTATGAGCATTTTATCTAAAGGCAATAATAGCAACTGAAAAGCCCTCGGGGGAGTGAATTGAGTAGAGAGGAGAATCAGGGAGGAGCAAGAAAAACTAGAGCTCAATGAGAGGGAAGAGGGAGTGAGAGGGAGTGGGATGAGCTTGAAGTTAGCAGAAGTGGGGCTATGGGATAACTGGTAGGCCCCCGCCCAAAGATGTGGATTTTATTCCACACACTATGAAATATTTGGTTAAAAGGAATGTCCTCATTGTTGTGTGGATAAAATACAAAAGCAGGTCTAGATGGGCATCAAGGCCCAGGTCTGGTCCCAACAATCCAAGACAGGCTTCATATGGTCCCTGAGTTCATCCTGTACCAGCGATATCCAATAGCACTTTCTGCAAAGATGGAAACATTCTCTGTGTACAACAAGGGGCTCTTGAACATTAGAAATGCGGCTACTGTGACTGAGAAACTGGATTTTAAACTTTATTCTATTTCAACTAATTTAATTTATACACCCTCATGTGGCTAGTGGCTATTGTATTGAATGACACAAGACAACACTGAGCACTGCACAACACCTGAGGGTTTCTACTCCGAATCTTGCAGCCAGGGTGTTCTCCAAATGGTGGGAGGGGAACAGGGTATGCTGATCCCTAGATGCTAACCAGTCAGTGCGTTCAGTCTTGTCAGGATGGAGAGTCTCAGGGGCCACCCTGAGCTTCATCTTGTTACTAGGGAGCCTACTACACACGACTGTGAGGAGCTCCACGCACGTTCTTAGGGGAAAACTGGCACTGTGCAGAAAGGTTTCAGGAAGGCTTTTTCCAAAACGCAACAGCCCCGCGACCGCTCGGCCCAGCCACTGGCGAGAGAGGAAAGACAGACCCGCAGCGCCTCGCCCCGCCTGCCCCGCAGCAGGGCCCGGTAGACACTGGCTTCCCTAACAGCACAGGTGAGCGGGAGGACGGAACTTAGGCAAACCACCCTACAGGTTTGAGCGTCCAGGGACTTCTAGCTGCGCAGTCGCCTCTGCTTCCCTGGGGTGGGGGCGGGGATGGCGCGGGCTGTCACCCGCACAGGATCTGCTTGCTTTGCTTGCTTTCGCTTTGCCTTTGGCGAGGCCTGGCACACCGCTAGAAGAATACAGAGCGGGTGGCCACTGAGAAGGGGTGAGGGTTGGCGCTTTTAACCTTTAGGGTGCCCCTTCACGCTCCCAGAGGACGTGTCCCTGGCTCAGGCCGATTGCTCTGCTGACGTGTGGGTACTGGCTGGCTAGAAAGCGCCCCTGACCTTGGTCTCTTTCTGGTCCAGGTTGGCGCAAGGACCATGGGCGCCGCGCTGGGCACGGGCGCGCGGCTGGCTCTCCCGCCGGGTAGGGCCTGCGGTGCCCTTCGACACTGGGCACCCTCCGCACCCGCCCGAGCCTGCCACTCCAAACCCGGCCCGGCGCGCCCTGTGCCCCTGAAGAAGCGTGGATACGATGTCACCAGGAACCCGCATCTCAACAAGGTAATGGTCTGGCTCTGGGAGGGTAGGACGCTAGAGCTATCCTTTGGCTGGAGGAAAAGGGCGCCCCGCCCCCTCGGCCTGGAAAGGATCCTACAAGCGCCCTTCCCGAGGTTTCTGTATTTGCCTGCTGTAGCTTAATGTATTGGTTTGGCTTTTTTGTTTCCCTCCCTCCCCCTCCTACATGGAGAGAGGTGACGAGTAATGCAGGGAGCTTAATTTTTTCAGCAAAAACAATGTGGACTCAGTTAAGATCTTCATGGTCAGTGTGACCTGGAGTCAGAAGACTCCCTGATGTTTTCTAATCCTGTTGATCTTGAAGAGTTCATTTAACCTCTGTGAGTCAGTTTCCTTATCTGTCAAAGAGATATAATTGACATAGGAATGCCGTAAGGCTTAAGGAGAAAACAGAGGCAGAGTTCTTTGCACAGTACCTGGCACCTAGGAGAGAGTAAATATCAGCTAAGGTTATGATTGTTATTCTGGGGAAAAGATTAATTTGAGAGTGGGGACAGAAAGGTCTAGAATTATAAAACTTTTACAGCTTGAAGCAGCATCAGAGATCCTAGTTCAAACCTCTCCTTTAACAGAAAACAGACAAAGGGAACATGCCCAAGGTCACCACCTAGCCAGTTCTGGATCTGCCACTGGAATCCAGATCTTTAATGCTAGGATCAAGTTCATCCCACTGCTAATACCAGTACATTAACCTAAGAGCAGACATATTTGTGTTTGGTGGTAGAGTCAGTGTCTTTGGTTCAGAGGATCAAGTTGAGAGACATACAAGCAGGAGACCTAGATTTGAGGCCTTTCGCCCTACCTCCCCATATTAACTTGGGCAATTCATTTAAATTTTTGGAGACTCAGCTTTCTTCAGTCTGAAATGATTATGGCAGACTCACCACTCTTATTTAACCTGGTTATTATGACAAATAAATGTATTAATGAATTCAAAGTCATATTTTTAACTACATGAAGTGTCCAATAAATAATTACTACAAAATGAAAATGTTAATAATTGCTTTGACTCAAGATTGTGATTTAAATGTGGCAATCTGTGTAGAAAAGATGTTTTTGAGAAGTAGAAACAACTACTTTATGCTAAGTTTTGTGATAGTTTCCTACAGAATTACTTTCTCTCAACCTTTACGTATTATACTGACCTCCTGCTCTCCCCCAAAGAGCCCTTATATACTACCCAAAGTATTTAAAGTTTGTATCAGTTTAATTACTTTGATAGTAAGTGTTAGAAAATGCAAACTTACTTTAGCAAACAAAAGTATCCTTTAACTAAAAAAAAAAAAAAAATAGAGAAGAAAGGGTGAAGGGTGCAGGCAAGGCATGAGTAAGAAGTTGAGATTCATTCCTAAAGCTGCAGGTTCTTTCCACTTTTGCAATGTCAGCTTCATTGTTAGACTCCATCTGATGGAGTGTTCTCCTCAATGTGACCCCATTGCCCTATCTACCATACCACACCCACCAATTGAAGCTCCTGTGAAAGAAAAAGAATGCTTTCTCTGAAGCCTCAGAAAGTGAACCTGTCTTATAGATCTGATTGGATTCTCTTCCCATTCCCAAACCAATCACCAGCAACTTAAGACTGTTGGAGCCTATTCCTAGAAGGCAGGGTAGGACCACCTGTATCAATTAGTTTAAATTAAAGGGGCTATAGTTTCCCTACATTAAATCTGAATATTGCCATCAGAGGGAAGAGGGGTGGATTCTGGAGAGCAAAATAGTAAGTTCCCACTGTAGGATCCAATCATTATGGCAACAATTGCCTTAGAAGTATGGACAACCAGCACTTATCGCCTTGTGGATAGTTAAGAAAATAAAGGAGGTTTGGGGCACCTAAAAACATACTTGTCCCTAATATAAATTATTTCCCTTCTAAGTAATATAATTAGAATGTGATTCATAAATCCACGGGGCCTGATCTTTGTGTGATGTTAGATAATGTTTTTTATATATCCCTGAAGTCAGTTGATGCAGTTCTGGGTGTGAAGAGGGTATCTAGGGTTCTGCTGAGAACCCATTGGATCCCCCTTTCACTGGTTCTTGGGAAGAGAGGGAAGCAGCCCAGGCAGAGATATACTTTTCTTCCCACTGGACTGCCTTCCTCTGGCTGTCCTGACCACCTCCAGTGCTCACAGTCTCCAAGAAAGACTTGAGGCTTCCTGTGTTCTGAGGTTAAATAGAGCTGAAGAAGCAAAAGAGAGGGCAGCTTCTAAAGGGTCTTTGGAACTGTGGTTAGTGAGAAGTTGTGTGGGTAGATTTTCCTCCCCACTAGAATGTGAGCTATTCTAGGGCAAGGACTGAGTTTCATGCATCTGTGACAAGGTAGTTCCTAAAGAATCTAGCAGTTAACATTAAATTCATGGAATGTGTTTAGTTGAGTTGCATCTTTCATTGATAGATCAGGAGAGGTTTATAAGTTGAAGCTTGACAGCAAAAGAGTAGTCAGAAGGTAGAATTCTCTGAGAAAAGATGAGCTACTAACCAGAGCAAGCATTGCTATTGCCATGTAATCCCTGGGTTCTGGACTCAGCTCTGTTGTGTCCTGGCTGTGTGGTCTGTGATGAATCCCACAAGTTCCTCTGCTTCTGTTTTGCCCCTGCTATGAGGATCCTAGGGAATAACCCCTGTGAAATCACTTAGAAAAGTGTAATGTGTTAAATATTAGGTATTTGTGTGAATGATGCCCAGAACTGAGGTAAGAAGGGCCATAAGAGGTGATCTTGTTTAGAATTGCTTTGACTACATGGTCACAAAGGAGGGATCAGAATATTAGCTTAGTGGGTCTGCCAGCAATTCATTTTTAAAAAGAAATGGATTAGAATAAAAAAAGAGCAAATGCATTTAAAATTAATAAAATAGGTCTTTTACCAAGTAACCATGTAGAAGGTCTATTTCTACTATGGATTGTAGTAAAAAAAAAAGGGGGGGGGGCGTGATTTGGAAGCCATTGTTCTCATCTAACATCATCATTTTCAGAAGAAAAGATAATCTAGAGAGTGAAAGGACTTTACAGAGACAATCTTTGGTTGTAGAAGTGGGCAGAAGCAGAAAGCCTTAAAAATTCCAGTCCATTGTGATGGCAGTTCACATCTGCTCTAGCTGATTCATGCATAGTCCTATTGATGACAAAATTGGTACTAGATGATTCCAAGTTCCCTCCATGGGACTAGAGTTTCTAAATGATGCAAATTCATCCTAAGTTAACTTCTAATTCCTGTTTTTCTAAACTAACATTCCACTTTTTATATAATACAGTGATGATGACCTGTTTTGTTGCAACAGAGTAGATGCTTGACATCAACCATGTTTCGCATACTTAAACAGGCAACTAACAACCCCATTTTATAGGGTTTTCTTCATATGCAGATGTCACCAAAATTTCTGGCCTCAGCTTACCTATATCCTTGTCTTTTATCTTTTTTTCCTTTTTTCCCCCCCAGAGCTGGGCATTGAATCCAGGGCCTCACATATGCTTAGTGAGTGTGTTCTTAGCACCCTAGCCCCACTTATATCTTCTTTTAGGAAGGGCTACCCTGTTCCCCACTCCCCAAGCTAGATTTGAGTCCCTGGCATTTGTCTTATCCCTCTGTTTCCTTACTATCATGACTGATTGTTTTTTTTCCACCCCAGACCCTGAGGATAGAGACTGACTTGTCACATGATGTTCTCTTTGCCTGACTTGAGGCACTCAGTAAATATTTGTTCTTTATTTCCATCAAGTTGTGGCCCTTTCCCTCTGAACCTCATTAGTATTAACGACACTACTTCATAGCTCATTGCCAAGATAATGCCCACATGCAGCCCATTTTGGAGGAAATGCATCTACTTTGCCCTAATCTTTCCAGACTGTCAGTCATTTTACCAGAGGATCATGTTATTTCCCAGAGTGCACCAGCCTCCCCCTTTGGCCCCAAAACCATTGCTGACCCTTCACCTGCTTCTTTGCTTTTTTTTTTTTTTTATCTCTTGAGTTTGATGTTCAGAAAAATAATGAAAAGGGTGAAAATCAAAAATCATATGATTGTGGACCAGCATGTTTCATGCAGTGGGCCCTCAGATACTTCCTAGCACAGCAGGTGACAGCCCTTCTACGTGGAATAGATGCAGTTTGATTGGGGAATGTGTCCAGACTTAGTGGCCCGCAAAGCAGCTTTGGCTACACATATGAGGTGATAGGTTTCAGCTGAATCCCTTTTGCGTTCAGTGGTGGTTTATTAGACTCCCACACAGCCAGGACTTGTTGTTGAATGAACTATATATTTTTGTTCAGTGGAACTTGATATTGCCTCCTTTGGGTGTGGAGAATCTGTCAACACAGGCTTGACTCACCCATCATTCAGGAGATGATGATGGGTTTTGTGAGGAATTAGAAGTTTATTGGTGATGCCATTTTCTGCCCTTGAGGTACATAACATAATATGTATTCCTGGAATCTCTGCATCAAATATTATGTAAAATTGGAGCTCCTGATTGACTGGGAAACAATAAGTTGTTAAGTAAACATGACTTCCATATGCAGCAATTCACTCTAGATGTGAACCTCTTGTGCAGTGACTCAGGACATTGAAGCCCAAATACAATTCAGATATTTTAGGAAAAGTTGAGCAGAAGCAGGGTGGAATTAAATCCTTCCCTGTTAAATATAGTCCTAGCTTCATGGGATGGTAAGCATTTGGTGTTGGAGCTTTATTCTTAGAACAGCTAAACGAACTTGTATTAGTTAGATGAAAGGTCAGGTAATTTTAACAAAATGAACCCCAAATACAGAGAATTGAACAAAATGGGATTAATGTCTCTCCTATAAACAAAGTCAGGTAGGCAGTCACAGGTTGGCACGGAGTTTGATTTTGTCATCCTCACTGTGCATTTTATACTTCATTGTCTAGGAGGGCTGCTCTCACCTCCACTGCAGATTCTATACAGGAGCCAGCAGGAAGGAGAAACACCTTTCAATTTTTTTTAATTAGATGGGTTAATTTTTAATG